TCCTAAGGGCAATTTGGAATGTCCAACCAACCTAACATGCAGGTTTTTGGACTGTGGGAGGAGGCTGGAGAACCCGGAGAGAATCCACTCAGACACAGGGATAATTCTATTCAATTCAGTTTTATTTATCTAGCACCAAATCACAACAACAGTTATCTCACAGCACTTTCCACAAAGAGCAGGTCAGACCGGATTCTGAAATTATTTACAGAAACCCAACAATTCCCACCAAAAGCAAGCATAGGTGACACAGGCAGGGAAAAACTTCCTTTTAAGAGGCCGAAATCTCGAGCAGAACCGTGGCTCAGGGTGGGCGGCCATCTGCCTCAACCGGTTGGGGGTGAGAGAGAGACAGAGAGAAAGAGCGAAAGAAAGAGAAGGGGAAAGGGGGATAAAGACAGAGAGAAAGACAGAGAGAGAAATGGGAACAGGGGATGGTAGCCTACACAGTAACACATAGAACTACAGACAAGATAAGGTAGTGTTGCCATAGGCTGTAATAATAGGAATATGAACAGTAGTTGTAATGTAGCAGAAGGTTCGAGGCGATTGGGAACACGGGGGCAGCAGGAGACTCCCAACCACAGATCCAGACTCCACAGCTCCAGAACCAGGAACACCTGCATGAAGTGACAGGAGGAGAGAGGAGAGGGACAAGAAAGTACGCGACCACGGGAAATGGAAAGAGTCCAGTTAGTAACATCCATTAATGCAATGAGGTTGCACTGAGAGCGCTAGAGAGAAGAGGAAAAGGGGACTCGGTGCATCATGGGAAATCCCCCAGCAGTCATGGCCTATAGCAGCGTAACTAAGGGCGGACTCATCGAAGGCAGCCCTAACTATAAACTTTATCAAAAAGGAAAGTCTTTAGCCTACTCTTAAATGTGGAGACGGTGTCTGCCTCCCGAACCCAAACTGGAACCTGGTTCCACAGACGAGGACTCTTGATAGCTGAACACTCCAGGTCCCATTCTACTTTTGAAGACTTTAGGGACCACAAGTAACCCTGCATTCTGGGAAAGCAGTGCTCTTGTGGGGCAGCAAGGTACTATGAGCTCTTTAAGACAAGACGGTGCCTGACCATGAATAGCTTTGTATATGAGAAGAATGATTATAAATTTTATTTTTGGATTTTACAGAACATGCAAACTGTACCAAGAAAGGTCCTGGTTCTCCCGGGGACTCGAACACAGAAACCTTTTTCTGTGAGGCAATGGTGCTAACCACCACACCACCCAATATAAAATCATGTAAGAAGTAAATGTTGATGGATTTTTTCATAACAAATCTGACTCCCACGTGCAGCTATCTGTCGCCCCCTGCTGCCCATAAAACAGATTACAGGTTGACACATCACAGAAGTCCTGAGGATGCAACTGCTCTCATGTCTTTAAACTGTTTTTCAGAGAGAGCTGAAGCAGGCAGATATTAAAGCCCAATCACTGGGAAAGAACTGAGGATCTTGAGTGGGTTTCGTTCGTTGAAAGCTTTGAACTTGTGTGCAATGTGGATTCCATTAAACAGTAAGATACTTTTTGACTCACTTTTTATGACAAGTTTTAACTGCCTTCCGGATGATTGATTTCAATGTACAAAAGAATTGGAATATTGCAATAAAAAATCTCTCAGAACGAGTGTGAATGTAAGTTTATATCTTTTTGTGGCCCTGTGATGCACTTCAACCCTCTGAGTAGAAGAGTTCCTTATTTTTCAGCAAATAAAATAATCTAAAATGCTAATTTTGGATTGGAAATATGACTTTTTTGACTCATGGACCAGCTAGAACCCCTACTAGTGTAGACAAATACATACCCAATAAAAATCAGTATATTGCTTTTTTCAAAATGCGACGCTTTCAGTAATTGACTGAAAACTTCTAATAAGATTAGATTTACACTGCAAAAGCTATGCAGATTTTACAGTTTAGGTACACTACATGGATTTTGCTATTCAAATTACTGCATGTTATTTGGCAAGTTATTTGACGCTGTTGCAACGAGTAGCTTCTCATTTCTTAAACAACTATGTGAAAGACATCCCGTGGTTGCGGGGGGAGATTTAAATTCTAAAATAATCTGAGAATTTAATTTGTCTCTTTCTTCGTTTGGGTCACACATTAACTAGGTCAGACAACATGTATACTTTTTGAATAATTTTATTATTAATTGCATTGGGATTTTAAAAAACAGAAAAGAAAATCTCTGTGGCATTTATTGGTTCAACATTTCACAAACTGCGTGTAAACGTCAGCTCAAATCATAGGGGTTAATCACAATCATTAATTGGATGGGTGAAAAATGCCGTCTAACGGCTGGCCCAGTCAGAATCTGCTGCAGTGTTCTGATAAGTTAACGGACTGATAAAACAGATTTTAAAGCTTTTAAAAATAAGAAACATTCCAACCGTTGTTTCTCCGTCAGAAGTCAGACTTTTTTAAAAAATAATGAAAAAGCACAAAAAAAAAAAAAAACTCTTTGGGTTTCAGCCTGTAAACATGAGCAGCCTGGACACTGGATTATTAAATGTCTCAAAGGCAATGTGAGGCCATGATTGTCGTCCAGCAGTATGCTGGGAGTCGTGAGTGGATGGAGGGAGTGACATCATCTTCTCTCTCAGAAAACCAACCTTCACGTTGAGTCGAACCCCCCTCCACCAACTCAGCACCAGTTTAACATTGCAGCATTGATGTGTAGTGGTGTCCCAAAGGTAACTGTTGCTTGGTTGCTTCTGGATCAGGTTCCTGTTGGCAGCTTTTTAACTGTGCACTCTGTCCTCCAGCGCCTTCAGCTCTGCCTCCACCTGAGCTGGCAGATCGGCTCCGACCTGCTGGGTGAAGTAGGCTCTCAGCTCCTTGGTCTCGTTCTGCCAGAAGGGCTTAGGCACGTCCATCAGGGCTCCCATGTCCACGCTGCTGCTCAGGCCTTTGGTGCTGATGCCGCCTTGTTCGGGCAGCCAGCCGATGATGCTCTTCGTGGCCGCCTCGTCTTCTCTCTCCCGGCTGCAGCGCTTGAAGATCCACTCCAGTACGCGGGCGTTTTCGCCAAACCCAGGCCACAGGAAGCTGCCGGTCGCAGGGTCCTTTCTGAACCAGTTGACGTGGAAAATCTTGGGCAGGTGGGTGGGAGCCTTTCGGCTCTGCATGCTCAGCCAGTGAGCGAGGTAGTCCCCGAAGTTATAGCCGAAGAACGGGCGCATGGCGAAGGGATCATGCATGATCACTTTACCTGGAAGGTAAAGTGTAATCAGGAACAGATTAATTTACATAACAACAGATTACTCCCATAAATCCTGGGTGACATCATTTTACTATTATCAAGTGACTTTTTCTGAAGTAAAAAACCCTTAAGAAACCAAACGTGAGTTGTACCTTTATGCTCAGCGGCTGCTGTGGCCTCTGACCTCATTGAAGCTCCAACAAACACTCCGTGTTGCCAACTGAAGGACTCGTAGACCAGAGGGACTCCTGACCACATCAACAGAAAGTGTATCATCTTAAGGCACAGCAACAATATAAATCGTTTCATGTGACTGATGCACAATTACATTTTTTCTTCCCCACAATGTTTCTGAATTAGACTGCAGGTTTATTTGTGGATCCTAGAGCTTCTAAAACCAGAATTGGATGTAGAGCCTTCAGTTACTGGGCTTCCCTTTCATGGAACTAGCTACCAAAACACAAGTGGAGAGCAAACCTCCTTCCCACCTTTAAGATTAGGCTCAAATCTTTCATTTTTGACAAATCATAAAATTAATGATGGCTCAAGTTATCCTGAAACATCCCATAGATATGCTACTGTAGGCTTAGACTGCTACTAGGGTTGTCAAAAGTATCGATACTCGAAAAAGTATCGATACTAAAATGTTGTATCCGGATACGATACTCATTTTCAAAAGTATCGATACCACTGCGCGAGCCCGCGCGAGCGCACGCGCGACGCTGACCTGCCGTCGCTGCGCCCCTTCTCTCATATTTATTTATGTATTTATTTACGTTGTTTATGATCATTAACAAGACGTTAGCCTTAAACTGCTAGCTGCGGCTAATGGCTAATAATAACATGCTACCCTTAATCAAGTACATATCTAACTCCACCCACATCCAAATCGGACGTTTTGATTAAGTCACCAATAGGAAGATCCCAGGCAAGAAAATCATAATTGCTTCATGGCAATATAGACATTAATTTAAAAAGAGTGAAAGTAATCTAGCAAACACTGAATTAAACTCTATCCATAATAGTATGTTAAAATAGTGGATGTTAAATAGGTTTGTACAATAAGTCCAAACAAGTTTAACCAAAAAATATTTATTTCTCACTATTATGAAGGGTGGAGGGTTAGGGTTAGGGTCATTAATGTGGGCCACCAGTCACAATAACATCAGTAACAGGTCAGTTTGAAATGAAAGACACAATTCAGTTCAATTTTGGGGTCTTTGTTTTTATCCTTGTGGTATCGAAAATGGTATCGAGTATTTTCCTGAGTATCGGTATCGAGTTGAAAATGTTAGTATCGTGACAACCCTAACTGCTACAGGCTTGAAATAAAAAAAATATATACCCCCAATCTGTGTCTCCACCCTTGGAGACACCTCCATCAGAACCCCACTCTGGTTCTGGTTCTGGTTCTTCCTCCCACAGACTCCTCGTTCTTGGTTTTCTTAGCTAGAAACCTTTTTAATTGGCTCTGTGTGAATTTCGATGCGTTTAAAATTTTATGTACTACAATTTATTGGATTGTTATTTTGTCCAATGAATTGGATTTCATGATGTTTGTTGTGATTTGGTGCTATACAAATTCAACTGAATTGAAATCAGGCCCAGAATGACTTCAGGTGGAAATGTGAAAATTGGCCACAGACATTAAGCCAGTCAGACAAAAAAGGTCAATGTCAACCGAGTCTGTGCGGGGAGCTAAAGATCGCAGATGTGTTGAGCAAAGCCTTCCAACATTGAGACTATTGCTGAAAGAGGAGTGTCTGAACTGAGTGTCTGCACTGCTTATGTAGAGTATCCTATCCTTGAGTAGCATTGGAAATGGAACATGGGGCTTTTCCGAAGAAGAAAAAAGCGGGACAAACCTTCCGGCCTCCTTCCTCCAAAGATGATGGCGTCAATGGGAACGCCCTCCTCACTCTCCCACTGCGGGTCAATGATGGGACACTGAGCTGCGGGGGCGCAGAAGCGGGAGTTGGGATGGGCGCAGTTTGTTGCATTTCCTGTGTAAAAAAAAGAAAAATACAAATAAATATTTAAAACAGAGGTGTGCCTTGTGAAACCACTTCATGATGTCAGAACGCCGACTTCTCGGCCCAGACCTGGTTTCCAGGTTTTGCCATGCCAGTCTGTTAGCGTGACGCCTGCAGCAGGGGGGTCGAGCCCTTCCCACCACACGCCGCCCTCGCTGGTCTCCCCTACGTTGGTGAACACTGTGTTTTTGGCAATGGTGGCCATGGCGTAGGGGTTGGTCTTGTCCGAGGTGCCTGGAGCCACACCAAAGAAGCCGTTCTCTGGGTTGATGGCCCTGAGTTTACCTGCAGAGAGACGGGGACCAGATTTAGAATGCCGCCCGCTCTGCGGCACATTAAATGCCAGGTCTCTACACTCGCCTTGACTGTCAAACTTCATCCACGCAATGTCGTCTCCCACGCACTCCACCTTCCAGCCAGGAAGAGATGGTTTCATCATGGCCAGGTTGGTTTTCCCACAGGCGCTGGGGAAGGCCGCGGCTATGTACCGCTTCACCCCCTGAGGGTTGGTGATTCCAAGAATCTGACGGCAGAGAACGGACGGGATTGACAACCAACCAAAAGAAAGAATGTTAAATCAAGACAACCTTCTCCTTGCTCACCAGCATGTGCTCAGCCAGCCAGCCCTCATCCTTGGCGATGCGGGAGGCGATGCGCAGGGCGAAGCATTTCTTCCCAAGGAGGGAATTCCCCCCGTAACCACTGCCAAAGGACAAGATCTGCCGGGTGTCCGGCAGGTGGGAGATCAGCACCTTGTCCGGGTTGCAGGGCCAGGAGTTGACCAGAGGAGCTGTAGAGGAAACCAAAGAGGAGCACAGGTTCCATTTTAACAAGAGGCAAAACAAACCGCATCCATCCCTGCGCTTACGCTGTCGGAATGTGTACCTTTGAGCGGCAAAGGCCGCCCCAAAGAATGCTGACAGCGGACAAACTCCGCTCCTTCGGACAGTTTCTTCAGAACAGGCGTGCCCATGCGAGTCATGATCCCCATACTGGCCACAACGTACGGCGAGTCGGTCACCTGGAGGGAGGCACAAGGCGTTTATGGCCCTGATCTACAGCGTCGGACTGTCGGCGGGCAATAACCATAAAAATACATCAGCAGCTTATTAGGAGGTAAGATAAACTAACAGCGATAAATATACAAGACAGAAGGACTGTTTTATGACCTGCTTTTAAGCAGGAAGCATTTCAGGAACACTCCTACCTGCACACCATATTTACTGAGCGCGGAGCCAACGGGACCCATGCTGAACGGAATCACATACATGGTCCGACCTAAAGAGAGTCCGCAGATTGGAGCGGGTTACTTCATGGGGTTGAAGGAGAATAACGTACTTTATTTTCTCCAACCCCCTGTGAATAACAAAAACAAGAGGAGGATTTTTCTCTCCAGATCTCTTCATACCTGCCATGCAGCTGGGGAAGCGCTCCTGTCTGGCTTTCTGCCAGTCGGACTCGCTCATCCAGCTACCGAGCTGACTCTTCACCCCCCCAGCGGGGATCGGTACGGTGTCCCTCTGGCTCTTGGTCACAATCACGGTCTTACTCTCCACCCGAGCCACGTCCTTCGGGTCCGTACGTGCCAGCCAGCTGCCACAACACAGAACCGGTCAGAGCATGGCGCCTATAGGCTTTTGTAAAATGATGGCGGTGGTGGCTCGCTGCTGAGGGGCTCGGCCCTCACCAGTTCTCATATTTGGGAAGCCTCTTGACCATGCCGTCCCTCTCCAGGCCTGCCAGAATGTTGGCCGTTTCCTCCGGAGTCCCCGTCACCACGTGGACGTTGGCGGGTTTGCACTCATCCACTGCTCCCTTCACGAAATCGGCCACGGCCGGCGGTAGCGAGGGGATGGAGGCCAGGGATCGAATCCCGACACTCGCCCCAACTCCACCTGGCCTAAAAGACAGGAACCAAACTGCTCTGTGACTTTGGATTGAACCACTTCATTAGGCAAAAAAAAAGAAATAACTTTGGGTAATTGTATAAGATCACAGCTTTTTAGAGTTTCAGATTCCATCCCAAGTGCAAACCCACAGAAGTCTTCCTGCCAGAGACCTTCCTGTACAGGCTTCTCTGACATTCAAGTATACAAAATATACCCAAGGATCTGATAGTGTTGTAATCTTTGTTTCTTACTGAATTTCCCAGATCACCGTTGAATCTGTTGTCTTCCATCCTGTGTTTTTCAGGCCTGAGAGTACAGACTCTCGTGGTTATCTTGTAGCAGGGGTGACACTTATTTTTTGTTTTTTTGTGCCTTTCTTGACAAACAAAGTAAAAAACAAGGCCACAAACGGAGGAGAAGTGAGCAGCGGCCAGGGGAAAAAAAAGGCTCGGCTGGGATTTGTACTTGGCGCTCATGTTCAGTAACAATGAGATGTTTCGGCTGGTTTGAACAAAAACAGGCCTTTTAGGATCCGGCCTGCTGTTAGTCAGCAGCATAATGCACACATGTGTGCGCCGCTGAGAAGCTGATGTATTTACTGGTACAACACAAACCTGTGTGCACTTCCAGTCAGTTGCCAACAACAGAACAAACAGAGTACGGTAATTGTGTGCAGGGTAGAAAGCTCTTTTTTGGAGAGACGTCTTAACATTGTTATTCAGTATGCACTGGAGAGAACTGTAAGTGTACATTCTAGTTTTTCACTTTTGCTGATTTTGGTCGTGTTGTGTGCGGGTACCTGGCAGCGCTAAGCGTGTCCTTACACGTGCAGCACACGCACACACACACACACACACAACTGTGCTAATGCATGCAGATAAACACGTAAATCTGGTCTCAATGTGCAAAGGGCACGAGCAGCAGGCAGGTGGAGATAGTCTGTAACCTGACAATGTGAGGGCAAAGAGCTGAGAACACTGTAGAGCCCCCCCCCCGGCTCACGCTCCCGTCGAAACACTTACTAGTCCCTTTGATAGCTGCGAGAACAATTAATCATCAGCGCGGTCAAGTTTGTGCAGAAAAAGCAAACAGGCGAACAATAACAACGTTACAACTTCACATTTTGAGTTTAAGAGGACTTCAGTCTTTCATCATGCCACTTTTGGATGATCTACCTAAAAAAAAAAAGCCTTATAATCATTTACCAGCTCATTTGCTTCATAGACCTTTTTTATCTTGAAAGTCAATGATCAGGTACACCTCAGCAGATGGTATCCTGTTTTCCTATAAGAGCATGTATATGAGCATCCCTGATATATAAATTCATCAATTGAAAAAGAAAACACTGCATATCCCCATGAAACGCATGTTAATAACGCTGGTGAGACACACACTCGCTGGCCACCGGCAGCGTGAGGCCGTGATTTAAACACTAACGTCAGCATGCCAACATGCCCACAAAGAAAATGCTGACCCCGAGCTCTGAGGTGGGCTTTTTTTTGTGTGTTCACCATCTAACTTTAGCATGTGGACATGCTCCGGCCATGACTTAGCTCTGGGTTTACGCTCAGAGGAAAAGCAGAGGGCCATTTTGAGCCATCTGACTGAAAATCCATGAAAGTCTGTGCAGACTGTGTCTTCTATCAGTCAACATCTGGATCAAAGCAGAATCTTCCGCTGAACGAAACAGATGCAATTTTTTTTCTCTCTCTCTGCAAGTCAAGTTTTGACCAAAGACTTAATCATTGGTTTAACTAAGCAGATCAATAACAGATCAATGATGTGGAAACAAAACTAATAACTAGCCCTGCACGCTGACCTTTGCCCCAGAAGCCTGAAGAATAAAGACACTTTGTTTGTATTCTCTGCGATACGCACTTCAGTCTGCTTTACAACCCCTTTGGACACGCGTAGTAAAATCACTTATGCACCCTAAAATCCACCCCATCGTGCTGCTAATAACAGTAACGAGCTGTGTGGTGCCGAGTGTTATCTTCGATGTGACTGGGATTAAGGAAGGAGATGAGTCCCGGCGTGATTAACTGAAACAAAGAGCCCGCCGATAGATGATTCAATTTTCCTGTATAGGCACGTGCAGCACTCAGTTTTAAAAAATGGGACCTGATGGGCAGCTTTTCTCTCCCTAAGCTACACCAGGGACAAAACTGATGACCTTTGCTCCCAATTTTCTTCACAACCATCCATCCCCCTCTAGCCTTTTTCTCTGTTTCACGTTCCCATGCCTGATAAGTTCAAGAATGTTGCAAGTTGACCAATTTTGCAAGATTTATGTCTATGACACCCAAGGGACTGGCTTTCTCTTACTTCCAGCTGGACAATTTCCCCCTAAAAAAAAGCACACCTCCATGTTGGAGAGCCAATCCTCGCCCAAACTGGCCGACACACCTACACTCCCCCTTCAACACCCCTGACGAAACCGAGTCAACAAGCCCTTACGGGGGCAGAGTCTGCTCCAGCTTGGGGTATCACTGCAGAGAACATGCACACGTGTTGCACGGTGAGTGCACAGGGAAAAAAAAAAAACACACACACAGGCGGGACGTGCTCCAGGACATTCAGTCACGGCTGCTGCCATTAACAGGACCTCAGGCAGAAAGACAAACAAAAACCTGCAGGAGCACAGGCCGCACTTATGTACGCCTCCAGTGTCACTCACTCCTTTTACATGCATCTCCAATCAAGTGATATTAAAACACGCCACGCGCACACACACGTAGGAGCTCACTTTGACTCCGAGCTGCTTGTGTGATGTCACAAAGCCTGGGTGGATGGTAGGGGGAGGAAAGGGAGGTAATGGTAAAAAAAAAGAAGGGATGAATACATGTATATTTACACAAAACTGTTCACAGGTACCTTTTGATTCAAAGTGACAACCACACAAGTCTTTATTAAAACTTGTTGATATGAAGCCCTTTTCAGGGAATCAAGTCTGACAAGTTTCTGTCTGCAGCCAACCAGCAGCTGACAGGAACTACAGATTTCACAGGTCAAAACTGCTAGTAGAAATTCCTAAAATACTAAACTAAATGACAAACAACCAGAGTTTGTCTGTCATTTAGTTTCTTTCTTTTTTACTGATTCAGATGAGACATGAGCAGCAAAACGATACAATATATATTGTTACCACTAAAAAAGTTAAACTTCTTTTATCTTTAAGAAGAAGAAGAATACACAGGTAAAGCATAGCTAACCGTTCCTCACATTTAAACTTACTACCAAATTAACCAAAAGTAATGAAAACTCACCTTCGTATGACTCCTAGTAAGAGACACGACATTTTGGGAGGCAAATAATAATAATAATAGCTTAAAATACTATTTCAACGAAAAATAAGAGTGCTGAAAAAGGCACTTGTGGGACTTCTCTGCGGTGGAAAAAGCGACAGACACGGGCTAAAGCTCCTCACAGCTTCATATCTGTGCTCTGGGAGGACCTTGCACTTTGCTCCGAGCGTACGTCCGCCTAGAAACACCCTGTGACCGGCTGACTGGATGCTGCCCTGCCTCTGCCCTGGTCCACGACCTCCGAGGACAGATAAATGAGCCCCACGGAGTCCTCCGGCCGCTTTTTAATGTGCACTCCGGGCGCTGCTGACCGGGGTTCGGCTGGGGGCTGAGGCGGGAGGAGGCGCCTCTGCTGGAACAATTTACATATCCTGTTGTTTGCCTCTTCGCAGGTCGCCGCCATACTCATATGCGGGTCCATCCTGGAAGATGATGCAAGTTTTCGAAGTTTCTGCGTCGTTGAACGCGAATTATTGCTCCTGGTCAGCTGCTACGAGGTAGCCGGAAGTAGGTGCTAGGACGCGGAAGCGGGCACACAGCAGGGACCCACTGCCCCTAAAGGGGTTCATCCCAGGAACATTTTGTACTCATGTCTCTCATTCTGATATTTGTTGCTAATTTCTTTTAATGTATATCTTCTTTAAAAGCAACAAGTGGGTACATCGACTCTAATGCCACTCATTTATTTTTGTCAGACACAGATTATGATAATTCAAACACAATTCAGCATGAAACAATTGATATGTCAACAAAGCATACATCATGTTAAGCCAAACCATCCTTTGATATGGTCACTTGGCTTGAGATGTTCGTGTTTGGTTCAGTGCTAAGTCAAGAAAAGAGACGTTATCTAATGCTTTTTTAGTCTGTCATTATCAGTACGTGATGTACTTTTATTAACACACCAGCATGAAGGCCTGTGAGTCATCTTAAGCCATATAGAAATATCACATGAAGGCAAAAATGTATTCACTGACGGTCTGGTGAACCCTCTTTAAAAAGCTTATTCCTTTAAATAGTTGTCAGAAATAGTTTTCAAGAACTCTTGAGGGATATTTTGTTTTTTTCTATGACGTTATCCCACATGTGTAAAATAATGTTGGGGAAGAATTACTCTGGACAAAATAACAGCAAACTGTCTCTCTGCTGTCTCTTGAAGCCGGTTGAAAAACAAACTGGGTGTGTCTCAACATTTGACATAGTTGCAGCGGACAAATCTGCATTCTTTAAATGTGTAAAAACCCTCGGGGACATTTGTGTGCAGGTTTTCATCACTGTCACCCTCTCAGGAAAAAGGTTCAGTGGGGGCCTTTTTGTTTGGAGTTTGTTTCTCTACCAAGAAATAGTGGTATAGAAAATGGATTGATATATGCACAAACACCAGCTAGATTCTTCATGACTAATAAAGGGGCATTATAATGATCATGAGACTGAATTTATCATGCTTACTTTTGGATAACAACTCAGTGACTGTAGTTTTTTTCACATCAAGCAGTCATTTCTGAGCTTGTTTGCGAAATGAAATGCCATCATTCTGACAGACGGTTGTAGCTGAACGTAGAATTTACTTTAAAACTAACTGTTTCAGAATGTAACTATGTGAGGGGTCACCACTGTGGAAGCTGAAAAGAGGTATTTAGTTAAGGCATGTAATAAAAATGAAAAGATT